GTGAAGTGAAAAACAAGTTTCTGATAGAATAGTAAATTTCAACCATGTCTATATTTCAAAATCTCCTGGGTGAAAACCATTGATGCTAAGTCTTAGCTTCAGAAATGTTTAAAGACCCCAGTGATTTTATTGTGCAATCAGGGTTAAGATGTAATGCAACACAGCAATATGTTCTAACAAATAATGACTTAATAGTATTCAATTCCTCAAGAAGAATGGAACTCAGAATGATTTTAGTTAAAATGGCACCAAAAACACCCACAAACTTCTTATTGCAGAAGTCTAAAAAGCCAGAGGCTCCCTGAAAGTCAGTTTTTCCCTTGTGGTAAGTGCCCTGTTCTAGAATTCTGGACCCCACTTCTCCGAGTCTGTATGCCATATCATTCTCCTGACCTCTCAACTCCTCTAAAATTATTGCAAGATCAATGTTTCAGGCACAGAAGAGTGGGGTCTCTTTTCCTGATAATAATATAGATCCTCTGGCCTTTAGTATTCATAGATCATTCTCATATTTTGTATTAGCTAGAGGTACATTTGTTCACTACATTATAGCTGCCAGAGAGTTGAAAAGTACCTGAGGTGGAAAGATGAATTCGAAAGAGCAGTGTATGATGAATCTCGTGGCCTTCAATCAAATTACAGATTTGTCCATGCCTCATTAGAGGACTTAAAGCAATTACATAACCTTTCAAGTTTCTATTTCCTTAAATATAAAATGAAAAAGTTGGATAATATCTCATATCCATTGCAACTCTGAAATGCTAGGCTGTGTATTATTTTTCTATTCATTTTCTGGTAAAACAAATGAACAGCAAAGGATGAGAAAGTAACACAGAGGAGAAACATAGACACACATACACTCCCACCACAAACAACAACAACAACGACAATGAAAACAGCCCTCCAGAAAAGGCATAGGTTGACACATCTATTCTCAAAACTTATTCAATCAAGTTACATTTTCAAAAGGCTAAAATTGAGTCACGTGGCAGTAAAATTTGATATATTGTACTTTCTGTGAATGGTCTATATGAAAAGATTATTCTTACTCCCTCCATAATGTGACAATCACCCTTAAAATAATGCAATGATCCAACTCACAGATTACTAATTAAGTCTAAGACAGAGTAGTAATTAAAAAATATCCTAATCCTAATGGAAAAATTTTAAATGTCCAAACCTGAAGCTCAATGCACTGTTCCTTGACAGAGTTCTTGCATATCCATTTTTCTGATTCTTTCTTCCACCTACCATGTACTTATTCCCCTGCCACCTCTTCCTCAAGACACATAGCATGTTGTCACTACATAAATCTTTATGCCTCTTGATATATGATTAGTCTACCCCAAAAATGTTTTGAGACTTTTATCTCCTGCTGATTACCTAAACTGTTGAGCTTGGCATTCCCAAATCTCTACCATGTAGCTCACATACCACCTTCTTTACTATTTTTTTGAACACATTTCTTCCACCCAGCCTCTCCTTTATGTCCATTCCTCAGCTGTGCCATCTGAATTCCTTCTGATCTTTTGCTCTTGCTTCCCTCCTCACCGCCCCAATATGGAATTGCCTTATCTATTTTTCCCAACACAGACTAAGGTTGGCCATTTTTGGAACCTAAGCCAACTAATATTTCATCTCTTCCATGAATCACAAGTCCTACAATGCCTTCCACAAACTATGCTAAGCAACACTTCCTACTTTCTGTATGTCTTCTGTATTTTGTTATTGTACATTTCCTAGTTAGACTGCCTGCATGTGAAGGGTAGATACAATGTGTGAAATGCTTCTACCTCTCTTCCCTCTCCCTTCTTCTTCCATTCCTCCTTCCTTCCATTTCTCCCTCCCTCATACCATTATTCCTCTTTTTCGTTTGTTCATAGTTTATAAAGTAAACTTGGGCAATCTAGAAAATGATCAACAGTCATTTGGCAGGTAATGAATCTAAATGAGGGTTTGCGTCTTGCTAAACTGTTTTTCCTTCTACCCTTCTCTTCAAAAAGGAGTTCCTCTATTTTTGCTAACCCCATTCCATTAAGTTCTCTTTTTTTTCCTACAGCTGTCTGTAAATAAAATGAAACTCTATCTCCAAATCCAGAACCAAGAAAGAAAACCACTAGAGACCTCTTTCAATTTTTTCAATATATATTTTTATTGAATTTTTGTGTATTTCATATATCTTAATCATATCTAGACCCCTACCATATCTGCACCCAGCACCAATTGTGTCAAGTTTGTGTCCCCAAATGTCCCTCTGTTTGAGTTCATTCACTGGAGCCTGGTCAGCAAAGAAGACCAACTCTCCCTCACCCAGTAGTGATCAGCTGCCAATAGTTTCTCTGCTAAGTTTGGGGCTTCTTGCCCATTTCCCCAGTTTTTTGCTGGGTGTTTGGATTGAGTTTACATAGGTCTTGTGCATGCTGTCACCATTGCTGTGAGTTCATATGAGCAAGTTCCTAGCTGTCTGGAAAACTCTGTTTCCTTGTGGTCATCCATGACCCCTGGCTTTTACAATCTTTCTGCTCCCTCTTCCACAGTGGTCCCTGTGGTGGGTGAGGTTTAATATAGGATCCTATCCAGGGACACTGCTGTCAAATGTCTACATTTTGGTCAGTTGTGGCTTTCCATGTTAATCATCCATTGTTGCATGAGGAAGCTCTACTGGTGAAAGCTGAGGGATGCATTAGTATTCTCTCTACCCCCGGGTTCCATTGTAGACATGTCACTTAGGGCTAGGTACCTCACAGACACTTATTAGCTATGTTTGACCATTTGTAGGACTCTGTAATAGTCTCCCATCTTTTGCAAAAAGAAGCTTCTTTGATAAGTGATGAAAGGTATACTTATCTGTAAGTATAAGGATACATATTTAGCATATAGTAAGAAATTACATTGTCTAGGGATGTGACAGATAAGATGTAGGTTTTTCTCTAGGCTCTATGGCCTCGCCAGCCATGTGTATTTGGCTATGTTTACAGGACTGCACATGAGTTCCCTCCTATTGATTGGGCTTAAAGTCCAATTAGATAGCTGTTGATTACCCCCAAGATAAAAGTGCCTGCTATTGCACAGTAGAAGTAGTTTGTTGTGCTGGTCATTATTGTGGTTATTAGGCTTTACAGCTGGGGTTGGACCATTGATTGATTTTCTCCCTTACCAGGTTGCATCCTATCCTCTGAAACTATGAGAGCTAAGAGACCTATTTCAATTTTTGAAATTATCTTATTTATCCATGTAGGTTAGAATAATTTTCTAGAGCCTGCAATGTAGCTGAGTGGTGGAGAGGTTTCCTAGCATATGCAAGGCCCTGGACTCAACCTACAACAACAACAACAACAACAACAACAGCAACAACACACACACACATACACAGACACACACACACACATACAACACACCACATGAGAAGCAGCACTAAACTCTATAATCATTACTAAAGAGAATTTTGTGTGTATGGGGGGTGGGTGACAGCAGAATGGATGAACTGTAGGCTCAGATATGCAAACAGTGATTTTATTTTTCTTTCAAAAAATCTAAAGATGAGTAGAGGATGAACACAGCTCCTTCTCCACAAGGCCCTAAGAATCCCAAATCAAGCTTATCAAAGGGTTAGAAAGCATATGTAACACATGCTTGTGTCTCTCTCCAAGGAACGAAATTGTATTGGAGAGCTACTCCCACTACAGTTTCAGGGACGACATGCATGCTAACAAAATCATAGCAGGACTGAACACTTTGGTACAGCCTTCCTCATAGACACAACCTTGGCACACCTGGTGAGGGCAGGAGCAGGACTTTGCCCCACTCCTGTCAGTCTTCCTGCTTTTGAGACCTGGGACAGAGGCAGCTCTGCTACAACATGGTCCCAGAATACTAAGGGACCTTTCAGACCACCTTCATTTCTGTTTTGGAATCCAAGATGGTAAGAAAAGAAAACCCAACTTTATTACCTTTTCTTCCTGTCTCAAATTTCAACTCAAACTGCTCTTGTTGTATTTTTAAGGCTTGGAAGTCAGTTGAAATTCTACTTCCCTGTCTCCATAATATCCTTTCATAAGAGCTTTTGTGTCTCTACATGTCAGGACTCCTATTGTCTTGGGTGTTCTGTTGAAGGAGCTGCCTATTTATCCCTGGAGAAGCAAATTTGCTTCTCTAGATCTTAGGCTTTTTCCATCTGTTCAGTAATGAACTGGGTGGGGGTCACGCTTGTATTCTTGTCCATTGACAACGCTGTGGTTGTCTACCAAGTCAAGGCCCATACCCTTTAACTTTTTCACTCAACCAGTCAGTACAGCTATTTCAAGATTAAGGACTTCTCAAAGGAGAAGTTGAGGTTTGCGGCCTTTCCTGGCTCCCAGAGTGGAAGGCTGTGCCTGGCTTTCTTCATCTCATTTTGTTCCTCCCCTTCCCTGGGCATGTGTCCACAGCTCAGAACTGTGGACCTCTTAGACATCAGGCGTCAGCATCATTCCCAATGACACCTAGCACTCTTACTCACCATCCTGCTGCTAACACACTTTGAAGTTTCCCAAGGTACCCCAGTACCCAACTCAGAAAGCCTTCCAGATGCATCAGCAACACCCACATATCTTGGAGAACTTGGCAAACAAAGTGCTGCTTTGCGGTAGGGCCCTCCCGCGGTGGAGACTCAGCCCACTACCCTCTGGCGAGCCTCTCAGCCCCAGGACCCTGTAGTCACTGTTTCCACAAACTCCCAGAGAATTCTTCTTGGGAGGGAAACAGCCCTTCCTCTTCCCATCCCTCAGACTCTTTAGGAGGGAGGGAGCGGGAAGGGAGGAAGGGAAGGGGAGAGGGAGGGGAGGGGGAGAGGGAGGGGGAGAGAGGGAGAGAGGGGGGAGAGAGAGAGAGAGAGAGAGAGAGAGAGAGAGAGAGAGAGAGAGAGAGAGAGAGAGGGAGTACTGGCACTGCACCCCCACATCACTCGCGGTAGAGAGAGAGAGAGAGAGAGAGAGAGAGAGAGAGAGAGAGAGAGTGAGTACTGGTACTGCCAACTGCCCTCACTTCAGGGCGGAGTGCGCGGGGCTCCTTCGCTGAGCGCTGCGCGACCTCGCCTCTGCACCGAACCCGAGCTCAGCTCCGGAGCAGTGATCTCCAGCCGCTGGCTTCCCGCGCTGATTGGGACTCTAGCTGAGGAGCGGGTAGCCCCGCGCGGCGTCCAGCGTGCAGGTACCACAGCCACCCGCCCGCTTTCCCACCGCTTCAGGAAGGTGCTGGGCGCCAACTGCGCCTCCCGTCTACCCGCCGGCCCTTCCCCGCCGCCCCACGGCCGCGCGTTGCTGCGCTCGGTCCCGCGTCCTCAGCCCTGCGCAGCGAAGTGGAGATGCCTGAGAGGCTGGCGAGGGCGCGCAGCTCCTGAAACCGCGCCAGCCGGCACCATGCGCCTGTGGCCGCTGCCCCTCGTCGTGGTTCCCGGCTTGCTGCAGCTGGTGAGTGCCGGGCCTGCCTTGCTGCCCACGCGCCAGGGATGAGTTTCGGCGGGAAAAATCTCTCCCCGGCGGGCTTGGAAGCTGAGTCCCAGGCTGCTTGAGAAACCGGGCTCGGAGCTAGGAACTCATGCGGTGGAGGGAGTTTGGATTGCTTTACGTGGTGAAGGGGAAGAAAGGGAGGGCTGTGCTTGGGGATCTGGAGGGCTTAGCAAGAGGGCTTAGCAAGAGTTGTGAATTATGGCTGGGATAAAGTAGACAGAAAGTATCCAGAAAAGAGGTGCGGGGAAGAAAGGCTTCCTGCTAAGCGGTCTGTGTGTGGGGCAGGAGTTACGGATTTGATAAGAGATGGGTTGGAGGGCTTTTCCCACAGCCCAAAGACCGGAGGTTTGGCGGGTTCTCATTTTCACGTGCCGTTTTTCCTGGGTGCCCACAAACACTTTTTCCAAAGCAGGCATTACTGGCTCCTTGATGGGGGTGGGGCGTGACTTTAGGGACACCTTGAATTTCTCTTCCTTTCCTGCCTGGCGGCATGGCCTTTACTACCAGCTGAGACGCAAGATGTAACTTTTACGCCCAACTCGGTGCAGAACGTAGCCCAGCTCTGACGTCCAGTGTCTCCTCACCGCCAGGACCACTGCCGGCTCTGAGGAAAATGAAGGTTTTAAAAGGTTGCTCAGGGTGCGCCATCGACACTCCGGGGCCACTATTCACATTCTGACTCGTTGATTTCCTCAAGAAACACCACTCCCCTTCCGATACATTCTTGTGTAATTTATGTTTTGTTCCAAAGGAAAAACTTAAGAATGTAACGACGAAAACTGTAGAAACGGGTCTTTTGGACTCATTCTGCCTCTGCTACAGCTTTCTCCTGGTCATTTGATTACCTGTCTTGAAGCAGTGCTAGTGAGTGGCCTGTCTCTCGATTCCAGGGTTTCTTTGGTTCTCACACTTTAGATCTTGTCTACTTACCTCTGTGGGTTTTTTAAAAAGGTTGAAAAATCCAAATGTATACAGAATAACAATCTCGCTTCTTTCCCTGTCCTTTTAGAGGGAAGACCAAATAATTTATGAAAATTTCTCTATGAAAGGCAAGATAGTGTAGAGGCTGAGGCACTTTGCAAGTGCTGAGTGTGGAAGGAACTCTCAAAGGTGAAGGAGAGAGGCCACAGAAGGGCCCACTGTCCATTCTTTTTATAAAATTCGTTTCACCCACACAACATTTAATAAAGTTATCAATGGCTTCAAGAAATGTGATATTTTCAAATGTACTTAAATGTGCCAGCACATGCTAGTTATATTCGATGCAGCATGTTGTGCACCAAGATATATGACACATTGATCTTTAAAATCGCTTGCTTGACTTAAAAAATTTTAAAGCTCAGTTATAGTAAACGGTGATTCAACAAAGCAGTACCTGCATAGTGTGTGTAAGGAAAAGCCTGGGGAAAATCAAGTACTTATGTGGTATCTTCAGAATAGCCTCATGAATCTTAGTTGGTTAATTTTGCATTCAGTGATTATGGACCACGTATCTGCTCCATAAGCAGTATGTCAGTTCCTCAGAGATGAGGAAATGTGTTTGGAGATGTGTTACATAAAAGTTCTTTTATCAAGAAAAACTGTATAGGAAATGTTAGAACACCCCCCCCATAGTAGGATGGGATATATATATATATATATATATATATATATATATATATATATATATATATATATATCTCCCTTAAGAGCTGGGTTCTGATATTACAGCATAGGTTGATTGATTAGTTTTTAAGGACACTTATGTGAAATTCTAATCTGGTTTTGGATTGTGCTGTGATTTTAGTTTATTTTCCCCCTGGAGCACTTTATTACGGAAAGTGAGGTGGGGAGCTGCTGCCCTGTGATAAGCACACAGGCCTTATACTGCCATCTTCTTGGACAATAAAAGGCTGTTTGCATTCTACATATTCTTAGAGCTGTTTCCAGCTTTATAACACAATTCAGAGGATGTGAAAGGAAAGCAGAACGACTGAGGAGGGTAGATCTAAATGGAAACTTTCCCAGTCTCACTACACACCTCACACAGCAGATTTCAAAAAAAAAATACTTCATAACTTGCTGCTTTGGATGGTTCATAGTTTTGTTCTATCTTTTCAGCTGATATTGAGCTTCTTTAGTAAATTCTAGCAGCAAATAGATAAAATAGTATCTAGATCAGAAAAAAGTCTTTATTTTGTAGGAAGCATGAGTACTCAAAAGATCTCCCCTATGTTGATAAAGGATGTAGAGTTTGTGCATATGTGTGTGTGCATGCACATACATATTTATATAGAAACATAAAATTTTATATAGCGATATATACAGTTTGTTGGAGGGTGGGGTAGACTTGCATTATTATTGGAACTGGATTTTACTTTTCCATCTGCCCTGTCAGCCTAAAATCTTTATTTTTTTAACCAAACTAAATATTTAAATAGTAGTGAACTCATATGGTAATATCGAAAATTTAATTAAGTGAAGATTCCTTGCTTCATCTGAAAACAGTTATAGTGAGTTATGTTTAAATAAGTTTCCAGTGACATTATATTGCTAGAATAGTCAAAATACTTTTTATTTATTTTTGTGAAATTTAAAACTTTTAAGCAAAAATGTAAGCTGAGTTGTTAAGTCTTGCAGAGAGCCTGTGAAAAATGTGTATCTGCTACTTACATGTTTACAGTATTTTATGGCCTATATTCAGTCTTAAGTTTATATACCTAGTCAATGGTATTACTAGGCACTTACACAGTTTAAATATCCATTTTACATGTATTTTTTTCTGGATATTCTTTTCTTGTTCTTGTTAACATATTCTGTGTAAGGATATCAGTAGCACTTTATTTCTTTTTGTCATTTAATGAAGAAAAATGAGCATGTGGAATTAATTTATAATAAAATGTTTCATGTATTGTTTCATGACATGGCTTCACCAGATATCAACTTCCTACTGATTTGCTGGATAATCTGTGACACATAATATGGATGATTTTACTTTTCAGTAAAATGATTATATTTGTAAAAAGATTATATTTGAATTAAAATAGATGAGTAGATCTAGTTTAAAGCAAAATTTGGCAATGATTTAAAAATATGGTGCTTATTCCAAATTATTTTTCTGTGATATAGTGTTGAGCTTATTAAATGAAATATAGTTAAATGTGATATAAATAGGCAATTTTTAGATTCCTAAAAGATCAGGATACTTGTGAGACAAGAGAGTCAATTTAAAGTTCATCTGTGTTATATGCTATATTATTGTGTTTTTACGCATATTTTACTAAATTTATAATTTTAACATTTGTTCAGTGTGATTTTCATAGTTATTCCCTTTTTCTGTATTAACTAGAAGTGGTAACTCACAACTATCTTCCTAAATCACAATTTCCCTCATACAGTCTTGATCAATAAACATCAAAAAAACATACCCTAGTGAGGGATCAATAGTCATCTGTTGTCCAGATAACAATGTGGAAGAAAAATAAATCACCACCATATCTTGCCTGTGACTTAGAGTTAACTGAGAGTTAACTGGGCATTCAAATGAACTGGTCCTCTTATGCACATTATTATCCCAACATTTTAAAAAACAAACCCTTGGGTCCAGCCATGTATCTCCAGTAAGAGCTGTGTTCCTCTGCTCTGTTCTGAGATTGGTTCAGGTTTAAGTGCTTTCCACATACAAAACTGACTCCTCTTAGGAACTTACTGTATTGTCTAATAGATTTTCAAATGGAAATGAAAGTCTTTCTTAGTCTTTGTTCTACATGTTCCCTAAATTTTATTTTTTCTAATTAGTGATCAGAATACTAAATGAGGCTTCTTTTCTGAAAAATCTTTCAGTGGTTTACAGTGTAAAGTATGTAACCCTTGCAATCATATGAATTAAGGGATGTAGATTTTGTCATGTATACTATCATGTATTAAAGGTATATTACCCACCTTTTATCTATTAAGTATCATGAATGGTCTAGTTACTTAGTGGGAGTAATCAAAAGCCAATATAGACGTGTCACAAGTTTGCGATTTTATGAAAGCTCTAGGACTGTCCCTTAATGCTTATATATTCTGCAGACTACTAAACCTGAGGCTTTGCTGGGTAAGATCTAAAAAAAGAATTATAGCTATACACTCAAAAGCCTACAGCCAAGGCTGTGTCAGCATTTCTGTAAAGAATTTCATTTCTATCTTAGCCATAAGCATTATTACTAGTTAGAAACTGGCATTCAATATCATGATTTTGAACTTGGTTATTTTAAAGCTGCTTTTTAAAATCATTTTGAATGATTCTAAGCACTCACCAATGTAAGGTTATTTTCTAGATATTTTTATAATATATTATTCAACAAACTAATTTTTATATTATTGACACAGTAATTAACTTAACAGTTAAGTAATTAACTTAATAGTTTTGATTGATACTTAGCTATAATTTAAGATATAATATTTAGAAAATATTTAGTGTACAAGATAATGTTTTTCAAGTCTGTTTTGTTATACTGTTGGATGATTTTATAACACAGTTTTATTGTATTTTCCATTGTGCCAGATTCAGGTAATCTAGGCAGTGTTTTATGAATGTTTGCTAACCGCCTATTTAAATATTTTATTACTGACTGGTGGTGCAGATGGCAACTCCATTCTTGATTTTAAAACCCTACCTAAGAACAAAGAGATCTACAATCCTTACAGTGTAGATTTTCATATTATAGGAGGAATAGTGTTACATAATAATATTGATTGAGGATTTCTATTTTGTTATTTTAATTTGTGAGAATTTAGATATGGACCTTCAAATAGCTGTCTGGCTCGTTAAGCTGAGTGATCAGCATTAGTATAGAATTGATTTCTTTTTGAAACCACCATTTAAAATAAATGTTTTATCATTTTACACAAATGCCAAAGGGAAGATTTTCCTTTTTCCTAATTAGTTAATTCAAGAAGTTGAAATCAGCTTTATGATCACCCTTCTTGCCAATTTC